AATTAGGCCGTGGCTTGAATCCACCAGGCAGTCCACAGCAGAAGCGTGAGGCTGTCGGCTTCCATCAAGACCTGCAGTTTTGGAAACCCTATGGGACAATTGTATACTGTCCTATAGGGTCACTAAGAGTTGGAGTGGACTCGATGACAGTGGGCTTGTTTGGTAAAGTCTAGAATCTTACTGACACAGAGCAGGCATCATCTAATAGATGACTGCTGCCTATGTGAATGAGAGCATCCAATCGACTGCATTCCTAGGAAGGGTGGCCATCAAAGACAGTGACCAGGAACTTCCTGTGCCAGCAGGGCCACGTTAGTGCGCTTTCAAGTTCATTGGGGAAAGTGGGTTTTCAAATCCCAGTTTCAAGCATCCATTATTGAAGCAAACACACACACACAAACATTAGAGTGGAGAACCAGACCGCATAACGCATTAAAGCCCCGTGAGTCGACGTGGAAAGCTTGTTACTAGAATTTTATCTGTTGAGTGAACAGACCCACCAAGAGATTGCGCTCCGGACAAACGACTGGCATGCATAACCCAGCCAGATGGAGCCCACTGATGCTTGGTGAACTGACAAAAATCCACCTTGGAAGCCTGCAGGATTCACCCGGAGGCCGAGCCGACAGGCCATTCTGCAGCCACCCCTGAGCACACATTCCCCATCAACTTACTTCGTACCGCCGCTTTGCCACTTTCTGCGCAGGGCGTCTCTTCGTCGAACTTGGGGTTGTTGAGTAAACTGTGCACTCCAAGAACAGCTGCAAGCAAACAAATGTGACCCGGCACGGACATTGAGACCAGGGAAGCATGTCAGCATTCCCACACTCTGACCCCCGCCCCCACCCCCACAAGGAACAAATGGTCGTGACATCAGAGAGAGGAACCCCATGCCACATCAAAACAAAGTCTCCAGACCCTCCCCTCTCTTTCAAACTGTGGAGTAGATATAGAGTATTTTAAAAGTTCGTGATTTTTTGTTTAAAGAGTCCCTTTCTAAGGCCATCAGCAGTCCTCACATGTCTATGCTGACACCCGTGAGACTTAGTGTCGGAAGAACAATGCCCATTGTGTTATGCTGTCTGGCCCCCAACAGCTTCCATCTCCTAGTGACTCAGTTCCTCTGGTTTCTCATCTGCCACACGAGAGGGCAAGCCCAAGTCTAAGGGCATTTTAGTATCTGACACTGTACAGAGGACTGCCTCGTGCAGATTGCAGTGAGATCACCAGCCAGGCTCCCCGGCATCTCTCCAAGCCAAGAGGAGTTGTCCTCCCCCTCTTGAGAGCCTCTCAGGAAGGGAGCCAGAGACATTGAAACATTAGGTCAGGTATCTGATAGGACAGAGCAGAAAGGTCCCATAGGGCTTCCTGGGCTGCACATCTCCATAGAGAGGCAGACTGTGACTCTTTATGGACTGGCTGGTGGGCTTGAACGGGTGACCTTGTGGTTAACAATTGGGTGCCTAATTGCTGCAGCACCAGGGCTCCTTTTTTAAAA